TGGGCAGGTGGGCTCCTCATGGAGCCGGGAGGGAGCGTCTCCCCACGTCTGCCTCCTCTTTCTGCGGCCTTTTCCCTGGGCGCCTCGCCCCTGCCTCCGTCTGCTCGTTTCCCGTCTGAAGTCTCCAGTCCTCTCCGATCAGGGCCCTGCTGATCTGTCTCTGCAAACACCCATTTCTAAGAGGGCGGCGCTGCTGGCGGTCAGGGCTTCCACGTGGGAATTCCGGGAGACGCCATCCGCGCCTCAGGCGGGCTCACACACGCGCAGTGTCTTCCTCGGGGAATTGCACGTGCCGGCCCCCCGCGGTGGTCGCCGGCTGCTCCCGCTTCCTCCCCCGCCGTAATTGCCAGCCCTGCCTCGGGTGCAGATGGGACCGCAGCTCCGCAGTGCCCCGGAGCCCCCAGCCCGCGCTTCGGAACAGCGCGGCCTCCTGCTCCCCGGAGACGCTGGCTGCGGCATCAGGCTGGGGGAGCTCATGCGCCTCCTCCTTTGGGTCCCAGGTTGTTGGTTTTTCTTTTTAACGGTGTGAGGGGCTGCTGGGACTCCGCTGGGTCCACTTAACCAGCCGGGTGTGTTTATCTCTAACGAAACAGCTTTCCCAGCAGGTGGGCTGCGAGTGGCCCCTGAGAGTGCTTTCTGCTCCGGGATTTTTATCTGAGGCACGAAAACGTCCGCACAGGCGGTCGAGGGCAGTGCCCCATGGCCCGTGACGTCAGGGCTGCCGCTGTATCCTCAGGAAGAGGCGTTTGCCACGCGCAGCCCGGGGCATTCCAGACTGGGTGTTTTCCTGTTGTTTTTTTTTTCGTTCTTCCCCATTCCCCACCCCCTACTCCTTTTTTATTAGTGAGCACTCGGGAGGCGAGACCAGGCGGCAGGGAGGGCAGGTGCAGCCCCCATGCCTGCAGGGTGAGGAAGGCGAGCAGTGAGGGTGCTCTGGGAGGACCCGTCTCTGCTCTGGTCTCAGAATTAGAGCTGCAAGCAGGTGACGTTCCTCCAGGCTGGGAACGAACCCACCTAAACCTCCCTGAAGGCTTGTGTCAAAGAAACAGTGTGAGAGCTGACAGTGTTTTGAGCAGCCGGATGGCTGATTCTGCCTTTCTGCTGGTGTGATACTTAGAATCGTGGTCAGCTGAGGTTTCGAGAGAAAGCAAGGATCACCACTGGTTCTTCTTGATTTGCAGTCAAGACCTTTCTATCCCAACTTCTGTTTTCAATACTTTAAGGTTTAAAAGGCTGGCATATTCTAGGTTATCACAACGAGCCTATGTCAGGACCTGGACTGAATTTACAATAAAAATCCCATCCAGTTGGAGGCATTGGGAAAATTTAAGAACTGTTTCTGCCTCTGCTATACTATCACTGTCGTCGTGTAAGTAAAAGTAAAAGCGCCGTGGCACTGACTCTCCAGCACGTGGTCACGTACACTGCGCTTCATGGTCTCCACGGTGACAAAGTCGTCCATCACCGTGAACTTGACTGAACTGGTGAGATAAGGGAAGAGTGATGTTGTCGAGGTGTAACTGGGACATAACGCAGTGGTGAACCTTTGGGTGAACCCCGCGTGTTTGTTTCCTGGGGCTGCCCTGGCAAGGTCCCGCGGACGAGTGGCCTTACCAGCAGGAAGATTTTCTCTCAGGGTCCTGAGACTGGAAGCCAAGATCGGGGCTTTCTTTTGGAGGCTGTGAGGGATCATCTGCCCAGCCTGTCTCCCTGGCTTGGAGCCGCCGTCTTCTCCCCATGACTCCTATCTCGCCATCCCCCGTGCATGTCTGTTTCCAGATGTCCCCTTTCATGAGGACACTGGTCCTGCTGGGTTGGGGCCACCCTGGTAGCCTCATTTGAACTTCATTGCTCTGTAAGGACCATCTCCCAGACACAGTCCCACACTGGGCAGGACTCCATTATGTGAGTTTGCGGGGAACACCGTTTGGCCCTCAGCCCCAGTCTTACAGTCCCAGTAAAAATGGCAGGCAGCCTTTGAAAGCACAAGCTCGTCCTGGTTCCTTCTCCGTCTCCTGGGTGGCGAGGTGTCCACAGGGACATCATGTTCTGGTGGGCACGGCCCCTCCTGCCCACCCTTGGGCCTGTGTTTGGTGTGGAGGTTGGAAAGTATAGGAGGCTGTTTTTTCCCTCTGCTTGGGAGTTTCAGCAAGAATTCCGTGGCCATGTGACCCTGTTAGCTTTATCTCCTGGCTGCAGAGTGCCCGGTTAGGTGTGATGCCTGAAACATTTCTGAGCATTAACACAAACAAAGCTCGGTAAATATGTCCCACACTCGCTTCTGGGGTTTGCAGTTAACCTTTTCCCACTGTTCTGGTTCCACATCAAATATGTTTCCTGGTTCCTTGTGCTCTGTTTCCAAGCGACCTCGTCAGCGGGTGCCCCGGGGCAGCTGGAAGCCACAGCAGAGATGAAATGTTAAGTTTTTTACCAGCAAGGTGGAGGGGCCAGACTTCCTTCCCCAGGAATGCCTCTCCGTTGGTCACACGCAGCAGCTCCGGCCAGCGTGGAAAACGTCACCAGGATCTCGGGCTGTGCAACTAGAAAGTTGTATTTTTAATCATCTCCAAAGTTTGGGATGGAGAATGTACAACATGCCCATCTTCTCCCCGCCGTGGTAGAGAACTGCTGCTCCGTTAATCCTGTCCTTATGCCAGAAGGAGCTTTCTAGTGGAAAGTGTGCTGTGTGCATCCTTCCTGGGGACCTTCCAGGGTTGTTGTCCTTTGAGGCCTTTTGTTGCTTGTTGAGTACCTGTGGCACCCAGTCCTATGCAGAGCCTCTGAGAGGCCCACAGTGGTCAAAGAACAGTGCTGAATTCTTGCTACAATTGAAGCAATGATAATGTTTGTGAAGTTAGTAAGAGTAGGTGATAGAACCTTGGTAGTTTTAGAGTTTGGAGCTATTTTGGAGCTCAGCGGAATGATGTGTCTGTTGTCAAAGCTTGGGAGGACTGGCACCAGAACCACAGGCCACCTGCCAGAGCCCTACAAATTAGAATCTTAAGCTGTGAATTCTGGCATCAGAAAGGAGTGGTTTTCTTCCCGCCTTGCTTCTTTCCAGGGATAATGACGGTGATCATAGCAAGTGCTCCCAGGGCACCTTTCCGTGTGCCGTTGAGGGTGTAAGGAGGTGTTGCGGGGCTGCGTCTGGAGGAGGCCAGGGCGAGAGTGCATGTTGAATGCTGTGCTTGTTATTTATAAATAGTGGTTCTCAGATGGTGGCTTTTAAAGATTTCATATTGACCTACAGGAACTAAAGTCTACGTGATTGCTTCCTCATTCCTTCATTGTTCGGCCTCCTCCACCTGGGCACCTGCCACAGGCCATGTGTGTCCATGTCCAGGTCTGTCTGTGCCGACATCTTCTCCTCTTTGAGCATCAGCCTCTGGAAAGTGTCCCTGTCAGCGTCTCCACACGTCTCACTCTCTGCACCCAGACAGTCTCCGGAGTTGCCTTTGTAGAAGCAAGGTCGTAGGGGAATTGGAAAGGCAGAGCTATTTTAACTGAATTTATCGGTGACTTTAACAGCACAATTCTTGAATTGAATTTCTTTTTATTTTATTTATTTATTTTGAGACGGAGTCTCGCTCTGTCGCCCAGGCTGGAGTGCAGTGGCGCGATCTCGGAGCTCCGCCTCCCGAGTTCCCGCCATTCTCCTGCCTCAGCCTCCTGAGTAGCTGGGACTACAGGTGCCCGCCACCTCGCCCGGCTAGTTTTTTGTATTTTTAGTAGAGACGGGGTTTCAACATGTCAGCCAGGATGGTCTCGATCTCCTGACCTTGTGATCCGCCTGCCTCAGCCTCCCACAGTGCTGGGATTACAGGCGTGAACCACCACACCCAGCCCTTGAATTCAGTTTCTACACGTGAAACATTGCCTGTTAGAGCTGAATGTTTAAAGAAAAAGAATTTCTAAGGGGCGAGATAGGCTAATGAACAGTGTTTACTTAGAGCCTGCTTGGTTTCAATGATCAGAAATAGCTGTTAGGTTGGTACAATAATGTATTTTCAAATCTCCTGACTGGGCGCAGTGGCTCACACCTGTAATCCCGGCACTTTGGGAGGCCAAGGCAGGTGGATCACCAGAGGTCAGAAGTTCAAGACCAACCTGGCCAAATTGGCAAAACTCCATCTCTACTAAAAGTACAAAAATTAGCCAGGCGTGGTGGCGGGCGCCTGTAATCCCAGCTACTCAGGAGGCTGAGGCAGGGGAATTGCTTGAACCCAGCAGGCCGAGGTTGCAGTGAGCTGAGATCGCGCCACTGTACTCCAGCCTGGGTGAGAGGAGCGAGACTCTGTCTCAAAACAAACAAACAAAAACCTCTTTATTTCAGACATTGTTTAAGTTTTGGGCTGCAATATTGTAGATTTTAGCAATATCAGTCATTTTTCTGCTATGCATAGTATTAGTTTCAAAAGGCCTGAGAAAACTTTCACCCTTGCGTTTCGTAAGTTATCGGAAAGTTTCAGAGTTTATCAGAATTTGGAAAAAGATCATATAAGCCCAGCGCGGTAACAGGTAGACTCTGTCTTCTCTTTCACAGACACGTGTCCACTGCCAGGCTCGGTAGTGATTCCTACCGCATTTGAATGCCTTTGCTCTTGTGGCTCTGGTATCTGAGGGGTTCAGGCCCCGGCAGTGTTGGGGGAACAGTGAAGGCTTTTGAGAGCTCCCAGGCCCTGTAGTGGGGCTGTCTCTGGGCTCTGGTGCCG